CCCCTCGTTTTTTTTTATCTCGCCGCTCTCTCTCTCTCTCTCTCTCTCTCTCTCTCTCTCTCTCTCTCTCTCTCTCTCTCTCTCCCCCCTTGTCTTACCCTTGGTTGTACAAGTATCTCTGCAATAGGATGAGTCCTTTGGGTATATGCCAAGAAGTGATACAACTGGGTCATATTGTAGTTTCATTTTTAGATTTTTAAGAGTTTTCCACACTGCTTTCCGTAGGGGTTGTATGATTTTGCAGTCCCACCAGGGTTCCCCTTTCTCTACATCCTCGCTAGCATTTGGTATCATTCGGTCTCTTGATCTCAGCCAGTCTGACTTGAGTAAGATGAAATCTTAAGGTGGTTTTAATTTGCATTTCCCTAATTACTAATGATGTTGAACACTTTTTTAAAAATAGTTTAATGTATTTTAATAGCAAACTTACAGGAACAGTACAGAAGACAGACAACATTAAAAACATGTACTTGCGTGTAGGAGAACTCAGAAAAGTATAGTGAATGGATGGAATATACTGTATGATAAAAGGGCTACAAACACCATTTAGTTGCCGTCAATAAGAAATTTACTTATTTAAAAAAAATCCAAAGCCAGGCGTGGTGATGCACACCTTCACGCCTTTAAGGATCTCTGTGAGTTCAAGGCCAGCCTGGTCTACATAGTGAGTTCCAGGCATTTGATTGCCATCAATAAGAAATTTAGGGAAGAAGTTTACTTATTTTTAAAAAATCCAAATGCTGGCATAGTCCAGAAAAATTTAACAGGTTTATTTATAATTGTTATAAAGTTGAACTGTTGAAACTTGTTCACTGAAACATTTTGACTTGCATTAATGCTTTACATCCCACATTTATATTAAAAATTCATGGGGCTGGGTGTGATGGCGTACATCTTTAATCCCAGCACTTGGGAGGCAGAGGCAGGCAGATCTCTGTGAGTTCAAGGCCTGCTTGGTCTACATAGTGAGTTCTAGGACAGCTGGGGCTACAGAGAGACCCTGTTTAAAAAAGACCAAAAAAAAAAAAAATTCCCACACAAATGAAAATGAAAAACTGCCAATACCTGATTTCTGTCCCCTATTTTCTACTTGCAATCATATACCTAGGTACCTTTTGACCCCATGGAAAAAATTATCTAACATTCAGAACTACTGATAACACGAAGAGGAAAAAATTTTTTAGAATGAAATGCTTCCCCCATAGTGCATCCTTAAGCATATTCTTCGTGTATGCAGCGTGCTAGCTGGATATCTTTTGGCATAATTGTTACACGTTTGGCATGGATAGCACACAGGTTGGTATCTTCAAAAAGGCCAACCAGATAGGCTACGCTTGCTTCCTGTAAAGCACCAATAGCTGCACTCTGGAAGCGCAGATCTGTTTTGAAGTCCTGAGCAATTTCTCGCACTAGATCCTGGAAGGGGAGTTTGCGGATCAGAAGTTCAGTGGACTTCTGATAACATCTAATTTCACGGAGTGCCACAGTACCAGGCCTGTAACGATGAGGTTTCTTCACCCCTCCAGTAGAGGGCGCACTCTTATGAGCGGCTTTTGTAGCCCGCTGTTTCCTGGTGGATTTGCGGGCAGTCAGCTTTGTAGCAGCCATGGTACAGACACCTCCTTACTTACCTCCCTTCTCCATCTGCTGGAGCTCGGGGAGCTAGAGGCTGCGATGGTCTAAGGCAGCTGCAGCGGTGGGGCCACGCCTGTGAACACCATGTTGAACACTTTTTAAGATATTTCTTAGCCATCTTTAGTTCTTCCTTTGAGAACTCTGTTTAGATCTTTATCCCATGTTTTAACTGGTCTTTTTTTTTTTTTTTTGGTTCTTTGTTTTTTTAGTTCTTTATATATTCTGGATGTTAAACTTCTGTCAGATGTGTCACTGGTAAAGATTTTCTCCTTCTCTGTGGGTTTTCTCTTCTCTTTCTTGATTTTTTTTTTTTTTGTTGTTGTTGTTGTCCAGAAGCTTTTTAGGTTAGTGAGATCTCACTTGTGGGTTGTTGACCTTAATTCCTGAGCAACTTGATTTAGAAAGTTCTTTCCTACACCTACATCTTATAGGTTATTACCAATGTTTTCTTCTAGCAGTTTCGTAGTTTCCAGTTTCACATTGAGGTCTTTGATCCATTTGGAGTTGACTTTTGTGCAAGGTGAAAGATAAGGGTATAGCTTCCTTCTTCTACAGGTGGAGATCCAGTTTTGCCAGTACTATTTGTTGAAGATACTGTCTTTCCTCCATTGTGTGTTCTTGGCACCTTTGTCAAATATCAGGTGACTGAAATTACATGTACTCATGTTTGAGTCTTCAGTTATGTTTCATTGATCTATTTGTGCCAGTACCATGCTGTTTTTGTGACTATAGCTCTCTCTCTATATATAAAATATAGAGATCTGGTATAGTAATCCCCCAGCATTGCTCTTAATGCTCAGGGTTGCTTTGGCTATCTGGGGTCTTTCATGCTTCCATATCAATTTTAGGATTTTTTAAAAATTTTGTGATGTATGTTGGGAATTTCAATTGGTATTTCATTGAATCTATATATTGCTTTTGGTAGGCTGGTCATTTTCACAATATTAACTCTTCTAATCCATGAGCATGGGAGGTCCTTCCATCTTCTGGTATCTTCCTTAACCTCTTTCTTTAAAGATTTTAAAATTTTCTTTGTAGAGATCTTTGATGTGATCTGTCTTTGGTCAGATTTATTCTGAAATATTTTATTTTTTCAGCTATTGTGAAGGGGAGTGTTTCCATGTGCTCTTTGTCTGATTGCTTGTTATTGGTATATAGAAAGGCTATTGACTTTTGTAGGTTAATTTTGTAACCTGCCACTTTACTGAAAGTGTTAATCATTTCTAGGCATTTTCTGGTGGAATTTTTGGCATCTCTTAGGTATAATATATCATCTGCAAAAAGGTATAATTTGACCTTTTCCAATTAGTACTCCTTTAATTTCTTATCTTATTGCTCTAGGAAGAGTTTCAAACACTATATTAAAAAGGAGTGGAGATAGTGGACATTCTTGTCTGGTTCCTGATTTTAATGATAATGCTTCTGTTTTTTTTTTTTTTTTTTTTCCATTTAGAATGATGTTGGCTGTGGGTTTGTTGTATATAGCTTTAATTATGTTGAGATATGTTCCCTCTAGTACAGTTCCCTTTAGGACTTTTATCTTGAATGCATGCTGAATTTTGTCAAAGGTCTTTTCTGCATCTATTGAGATGACCACGTAAGTTTTGTCTTTGAGACTATTTTTATGATTTATGATGTTTATTGACTTACATACATTAAACCATCCCTGCATCTCTGGAATAAAGTCTACTTGATCATGGTAGATGATCTTTTTCATGTATGTATGTGTTGGGAAACTCTGCTGTTAGGGTTGTAGTTCTCCATGTTGGGATAGCCCTGAGGGGCTCGGCGCCAAATGGAAGGACTCCCCTTTTCAGCAGGGGGCCTCCTGCTCTCTTCCTGGCTCACCTGGAAAGTGCCACCAAGCACGGATGCCTGACCTTATCTGAAACATGACCTTTGGCATAGTTACCTGGAGTAAAAACTACCCCCAGGTTTTTTCTATATGATAATCAGGCATTGCCTGATAGTCTGGAAGATAGGAGCCCACTGCCACATGTAAATAAAGCACACTATGAGCACCTATCAACTGAGGCTTTTGCTACTGCCTCCACACTATAAATTCTCTAGTTCTCCCACTGAATAAACGGAGCTGTTTTCACTGTGTCTGGAGCTGTATCACTGCTGTTTCACTGTGCCTGGGACCAGTCTCCCTGGGAGGGCTTTCTTCTGTCAGCGCTCACTGGCTGTCCTGACCCCGTTTGCCACTTCTGCTCTCCCTGCCCTTGTGGGCCGGTGGCCAACGACCCGCGAAGAGAGGGAGAGACCCCCGCAGCTGGCTCCCGAACGTGCGGCTCCTGGGATGCGCAGAGTCTGTCAGTATCCCTCCCATCAGGAGGGCAATGGCAGCTTTGCTTTTAAGCTGTCCCACCCTTGAGGATCGGCAATCTCTTTCCCCTATCACCTCCCATCAGGAGGATAAAGGCAGCTTTGCCTTTAAGCCATCCCACCTTTGTGGATCGGCAATCTTTTTCCTATCACCTCCCATCAGGAGGATAAAGGCAGCTTTGCCTCTAAGCTGCCCCACCCTTGAGATTGGCAGTCTCTCCTCTTTTTCCGCCTTTTATTTTCGGTCCGAGTCTTTGCGTGGGACCGTTAAAGACAAAGGAGCAACTGAGGCTTTCTGGTCAGGGCTACTCCCTGATGTTAGCTGAAGGCTCTTAGTCCTCTTAATGGACCCCGACTGCCCGCACGGGTGTAGACAAGACCCCCTATCTATACATCTTTCTGATACAAAAACCCGGTAACACCAGTTAAATGCTCTTAGAGTGGCCGCCGATCTCTTAAACTTGCGGGAAGGCTTTCTCTGTGGACTGAGTGGAATCACCTGAGATTTTGATCTCAGGCATGTTCCCTTAGAAATCAGCGTTTCACCCCACTTTCCTTTTCTATCTTAACACTGCTAGAAACAAAAATCCCCAAAGTTTCTAAGGGATCTTCATATAAGCCTTAAAGTCAACTTCTAAAATAAACTTCCCTAATCTGTTTTGTTATCTTGCCCCTGGGGTATTCAAGCCGAAGCTAAAAACAGTTAGGTCAGAATTTAAATTAACTAGCCCCTGCGGAGTACTTAAAAATTCAAGGTGGCTTTCGCCATACAAACAAACAGAAGAAAGAAAATTCAATCTAAAACTCATTCCTAGGACTAGGAATATC